AACCAAAAGGTAATTTCTGTGGGATATTATAGAGTATTTGTAGCATGGTCAAACGGCATGAAAAATATGCCAGCAGAAAGCGTCAGGTACATATTAATCAATCTTCCAATAAGCAAAGTGCTCCCCCCCTCCCCTCCACTTCCCAGGGTACCTCCTGGGAAAAACACATGCTATTAATCTGAAACAGTCTTTTCTGGAAATAATTATTAAATTTTTTTTCCAATATAGTAAAAGTTTTTTGTTATGCCCTTTGACCAAGGATAGTCAATGGATTATTACTCTCAATTCTTCATAATCTATTATAAAATTATACATCCACACCTTTTGTCTTGGCCTAAAATGTTCAAAGACTTGATGCCAACAAAGGCTTAAAACATGTTTCAGTAGTTTGGCCTGTTTGTTGCATTCAGGTTATAAGCCATGAAATGTGAGGAGAGCCCCGGGAGCTGTGCCCCTTCATGCTAGGTTTCAGGATGAAAACTCTGGAGTGGATCTAACCCAATCTGCAGTTGCAGGCAGGACCAGCCAACCCACAAACTGAAGTAGATGTGGCTGGCCAAGTCTAGCCTAGATCAGAAGTTCAGGTGATCTACAGACCCAATGTGAAAAAAACCATTTAGTATTATAAGCCCCGCAATAAAACACTGATTTGTTATGCAGAACTGTCATGTCAGTAGCTGACCACTACACCCAGTAATCTCATACCTAAGAATTTACCCCAAGGTAATCACAAAGAAACAGGTTCACAATACAAAGGTGTTTATCACAGCAATATTTATATTAATGAAAAACTGGAAACATCCTACCATCAACTAATAAAGGAATAATTAAATAAATTATGATCTAGCCAGACCTTTAAATATTTGAAGCTATTAAATATCATGTTTTTAAGAACACTAAAAAAAAGTAAGATATTCATACTTTAAATTTAAAAAGCTTATAAAACAAGATGTACTGTTTTAAAAAATTATATACAAATAGAGAAAAAGGTCACTTGGATAAAATAATTCATTTAAGAAATAAATGTGTATGTGTTGTTTTTTTTACTAAATGTTATCTTAATATCTATAATATTAAATAAATATTATACTAAGTATTATACTCAAAATAAAGTAAGACAAACATGTTCTCTGATTTCCTGGAAATCACAGTCTAGTGAGGAAGACAAATACTTTAAAAAATGATCACATACATGTAATTCCAAACTGTAATAAGCTATTGCGGCAGAAGTTACTAATGGTCCCCAGTATATTTCCCCTTCTTACTCAGTACCACAGTCCCTGAGTTTTATCTGCCAGTAACCACTTAGGAAATAATTATTAAATTTCTTTAATAATTACACTTCTGACTTTCCTTGCTCCTAGTTAACTAAATTCTGACCAATGGAATCTAATCTAGAAGTGGCCCGTGCAACTTCCAGTAAACATCCTTAAAAAGACAGGGCTTGCTTCTTGTTGCTTTCCCCTTCTTACCAGATGGAGCAGCTATTTTGGACTATGATGTGGAGGCTTCATGCTGAGAATGGCAGAGCAACAGGATAGGAGGAGCTGTGGAACCACTACCACCAGCATAGTCCACCTATAGAACTTTTACATGAGAGAGAAATAAAATTCTACCTTGTTTAAGCCATTTTCAGTTTGAGTTTTTAGTCATTCACAGCTGAACCTAATCCGAAATGGGATAGCTATAAAGTAAAAGTGAAAGGTTCAAGGAGAGATTATAATAGAAAGTTAATTTTAACTTGAGGATGGGGTTTCAGATATAGGTCCTCTGAGGAAGTAACTAAAATGCTACCTGATGCCTGGCCAGAGCGCACCAGGAGAAATTAAAAATGCAACTACTATGGCTTAAGCCTGAATCACCACAGGGTCAAGCAACAGATTTTGGGATGTTAATATTGCTTCTACAATGCATTAAAACTACTAAAGCAACCAAGTGCTGTGCTCCCAGTATCAAAATCTGTACTCTGACAAGCAAAAGACCACATATGCATGTCAAAAGTGAGAAGGGAGGAATGCAGAATGAAAATAAGCCATGTTAAAGAAATTAATAATTGCTTCCATACTTCAGTATTAATACTGCTTAAAATAGCTGGATTTTCTGATTAGAGAGGTTGATATATCATGAAGAGAATGTCATTAGACTTTTAAATGCTAACTATTCCTAATACAGACAAGAGTTTAGTGTTAAATTTTTTATTATTTCTTGACTTTCTAGTTATAAAGGAAACATTTATTGTGGAGAATTTAGCAAATATATATATATAAAATCAACTACCTGTAAATTCAACACCTTCCAACACTTTATACTGACACTGTTTTTATACACAAGTGCTTACTGTAAGAATTAATGCAATATTTTGTTTTTTAATAAAGCGAAGTAAGAGAATATGCATTTATTGTATAATTAAGTTTTCAAGTGGATATAGAAAAAATGCAGATAGAAAAATGCATATAGAAAAAAGAATGGAAACAAATGACAAAGAGTTAATCACTATCAATTCTGGTATATGACATTCTTTGAAGTATTCTGTATTTACATTTTTCCTCACAACCAAAAAATTAATGTTAAATTAAAATACTAGTCATGCAAGTAAGGTAATTCAGATTTTAGTTATTAAAGTTGAAGGAAAATCATTAAGTTTTTCCTAGAGGCTAAGTGGATCTTGTGAGGAAAAAAGACACACAAAAAGCTGAGCATTCAGCATTAACAGTTTGTTCTAAAATAATACTATTTTAAACTAAATATCAATGTTTCATGTTGGAAATAAGTCTGTGGAAGGACCAGCTTTTGAACTTTACAGCTATGTTTCCTCAAGTACTATCTTACCTAAAAATGATACATTCTGTTTTATCAAAAATGCTGTTTAAATAGTTAAGCAAATAAAACTTCAAGATTGCATTTTAGTTTCTGATTCTAGTTCTTTTTAAATTCTAGTTTCTAAAATCCAAACTTAGTTCAGATGACACAATTTATCACTTGATGGAATGTCTTATGAACATAAATGGTTACAATTTTCTATTAAGCTAGACACCTAAAACCGTGTTTCCCCGAAAATAAGACATCCTCCGAAAATAAGTCCTACTTACAGGTTTCCTTCTGAGTGAAATATAAAGCGCCCCCCTCCCCTGGAAATAAAGCCCCCGCTTAGGAGTCACAAGAAATTCACCCGGAAATTGAGGAATTGGATTGTTATGATGTTCCAGAAGATGATAACATGATTGTCATTGAATAAATGAGTAAATTCTTGATACTGTAGGATTCACAGTTTGTCTGGTTTGTGTTGACAACTACCGTACTACCATACCATATACAGGTAATAAATTTCCTTTATTTTCATTTAACAATAAATGTGTACCATGTTCTTCTTCATGGAAAAATAAGACATCTCCTGAAAATAAGACCTAGCACATCTTTGGGAGAAAAATTAATATAAGACACTGTCTTATTTTGGGGGAAACAGGGTAGAAAAAAATTAAAGAATAAAAAGTTACAGAAACAAAGCAAATCTTTACATCATTGCTCACACAAAAACTTTAAATGTACTTATTTTTAAATGCCCCATTTCCCTCAAATGTAGCCTTAGGTTAACTTTGTGACAACAGACCCCTTCCCTTACTCCACTAATCAATTCTTAGCTCGAACATGTGAATTTTCCAGCAAATGACTCATTCACTGGCATCTTGTCAAACTAATCCTGAAACTATAGGAGGCTCAGCGCTAACACAATTCTAAAACTAGAACACTTGCACTAACACACATCATTTTGACTTCAGAGAACTGACTGTCAGAGTCCAATATGTACTAATAAACTCTGTTTATATTTTTCCTTAAAACTTGTTCTCCACCATGCCACCGCCTCCCAATTTTAGTGTGGCAATTCCCTAAACCAAGACACTTCTAGTTTCTGGAGAAGACAAGATGGGGAATCATAGTAGTTTAAAACAGGAAGGGAAGGAAAAAGCAGTTGTTCACCGGGCTGGAAAAATATCCTATTCTGAAACAGTAACAACTCATATCTATTCCACATACTTCTTAAGATTTATTTTTCTCCTCACACACTGTAACAGAATACAAACACAATAAAAAAATCTCCAAGAATAAATTACTCTCAACGCCCTTATTTCACTAAATAAAAATTTAAATAACAACATAAAATCAATTACTGAGAACTATCCAGTCAAAAATCTTCAATGAGATATCACTAGCATTAACTATTAATTGCAAATCAACTAATTATTTTGGTTCACATGTTCACCTCCTCCAAAATAGAAAATTGCTCCTTTTAATCAGAAGAAGGGTGGAGGAGGAACAAGAAAACAATGATTTGTCAGATTACCACAGACATTTACTTATAGCTCTATCAATTGTCACACTCCACCTGGTGGCAGGAGCTGCCTGAATTGGTGAAGTGGAGGTCATTATACAAGAAATTCCAGAACATGTTTTCCAGATGTCTTTGGGGAAAAGCAAAATGCTCTTCTCTTGCTCTATATAGAATAAATCTAACAAGGTTCAATCAAAGTTTTTTGTCACGTCAATATCTAAAACAGATTAATATAAAAGTATAACAAAAATCAGAATGGGAGACCTGTATTTAGAGTGATCTGTTTACAACCATTTTCTCCATGTTAGTTAAATGTTATTTCAAGTCTTCAGAACAGTAACAAGCATATCCAGCAGCTATCACCTCCTCCCACTAACTTTCTTTACCCTTTTCCCTTATGGGTAAAGTATAGAGTTTCATTAACACAGTTAACAGCAGCTTGCCACATTGCTTTTAGATATTTGCCAGTAACACATACCCATGGGATACTCTAGAGACTGATTTCAACCAAAAATAAAAATAGATAAACAGAGCTCAAACAGAATTAAAACTGAGTCTGGCTGCCCACACTTATTTTCACACATGAAGAAAAATAGCAGTTCTCCTAGAGCTTCAAGCAGGCATATCTTTAGAACACAATGTTAAAAATATGCCCTCCCCCCCTTTCCCCTACCTGTTTCTCACTCAAAGCTGTGATTTTGGCTTGGAGTTCATGAAGCTGTTTCTTTAAATCAGCATTCTGATTGGAAAGAAAAAATATCTGTGAGAAAGATATTTCATTTGTTAACAGAATAGTAGCAAGAAGAGGTTATGCATATTGCATTACAAATGATCAAGCAAACGTAAGCATTTTAGCCAATCAAATTCATCATGCATTAAATTGTAGTCATGTTATCACTACCTAATGCATAGATCCTAAATGTAGGCTCCTAACACCAGAACCAGGGCAGCTCCTTTATAGTGGTTTTAAATTATAGGACGTTTTATATTTTAGCATTATGTAAAATAGTGCACTATTCTACTAAAAATATTGCTATTCTTTGACAGAAAACCCCTAGCTTCACTAATCAAACAAAAACAGGAAAATGGAAGTTGTAAGAATCTTTATTGATAATGCCACTCAATGGCACTATCAATAAAGATTAAAAACCTTGCCCTCTCCCTTATTTAGTAGAGTGCATTTGTTATTTTAGCCTGGATTTGAAAAGCTGTCAGTGCTATAACTGCCTTGACACCATATCATTCAAATTAACATAGCGACTACCAGTGCATTCTCTCAGTTTTCAAATTCTAGGATTCAAAAAAGAATACTATTTTAGATGAGATATACTGAATATGTTTGTGTTTTACTCAAGTGGGACAAAAAAATACAAGATTTAAAAAGCAAGATTAGTGCTTAATATTGGATAGCCTACTAGCAGACTGAACACCATCCCAATGAGAGACTACTTTTTCTTCATCCTCTCACATGCAATTTTTTCCAATAGCCCTGCCTGGTCTTCTATCAAGTTAGGGCACACATCCTCCCTCTCATGATTATGCCACAGGGTCTTTTAAAAATAAGAATGTGTTAGTGTGTGTGTGTGTGTGTGTGTGTGTGTGTGTGTGTGTGTTATGCATGTATATTAGAGGACTAATGCACAAAATGTGTGCAAAAGTGGGCCTTTGCACCCTGGTGGCTACTGGATCCCTCCCTCACAACTACAGTGCCTGCCTGGATCACTCGCAGCCACAGCTGCAGCCCCGGCTTTGTCCAGAAGGTTGTCTGGAAGGACATCCAGTCTAATTAACATATTATGCTTTTATTATTATAGACATATAATGAAACCACCCACAAGATTGCCCAACAATATACTGCTCTCTAAGATTTTTTACATTAAGACTGCTGTTACCTGGCTACCAGCTCTATGGGAAATGCTAATGATTTCTAATAACATTTCAATTGCTGATATTAAAGGTTATCATCTACATATATAAAAGCCTAAATGACGATCGCAACTGAATGGACGACCGATCTCCTGTGTGGAGATCAGGCCTAAACCAGAAGTCAGACATCCCCTGAGGGGTCCTGGATTGGAGAGGCTGCAGGGTGGGCTGAGGGCTCCCATCCCCCATGCATAAATTTTATGCACAGGGCCTCTAGTATTAAATATAAAAGAATCTATTAATCTATTAATCTATTCATCTACATCCTGGTTCCCTAAATCTAATTTAAATAGTATCTTTTAAAAGTAAACAAACATGGAGAAGCTTCTCAAAATTCAAACGTCAACCAGAAATTAAGTGTGGGCTATCAAGTGTGTTAAAGCACTGGGTACAAAATTTTTGAAATGACTATTATTCCTACTTCCAAAAATCAATCTCTCTCAGTATCATTCCTCAATCCAAGAATTTATTTTACTTAAAGTTACAATGAGGCATGTATGGTATGGTATGTTAACAAGCTAAAGATATATACACATACATCTGAGTACCCATCAATGGGTTTAGTTGTTTTGTGACCAGATTATGAGTCAACAAATGCAAGGGAGAAATCTTAAGAGAGTCTGATAAATACTCTCCACACTTACGACCTACTGTCTAAGGCTGCAAAAGAGACACTACCTGAACAATAAATACAATAATGGAAGACAAGATAACTTTCTGGGAAGATTTCTCTTCAGGGATAGAGAATTAAATGTATAAGTCAAAAACTCCTATGAGAGCCCAACTGGTGTGGCTCAGTGATTGAACATCAACCCTGAACCAGGAGGTTGCAGTTTCAATTCTTGGTCAGGGCATACGCCTGGGTTAAAGGCTTAATCCCCATTGTGAGGTGTGCAGGAGACAGCCAATCAATGATTCTCTCTCAACATTGAGGTTTCTCTCTTTCTCTCCCTTCTTCTCTGAAAGCAATAAAAAAATTTTTTTTAAAAAACTCCTATGAGAATTTAAAGAAAATTTAACATTTGCTAGATTAAGGGGCTCTTTCAAAAATAAAAATTAAGTGCTTTTTAAAATGTATTCTAAAATACAGTGTGATTAAGTATTTAAATGTTCTGTATTAAATCTCTACTATAAACTGAGAAAATAAGAATGGTTCTGGGCTTTATTCAATAATTTTGAGAGTATAGAAAGACTCACAAACTGATTTTGAGTGAGTGGGCATATAGAAATGAAATTTAAGCTCCAAGGAGAGTATAAACTCTCAACTTTCCCTCCCAAATACTCAAAGCAATTAACACAAAAGCAAGTAACAGTAACAAAGATGAAATGATAGCTATATTATAATATAATAACTGGATTTTTCTAAACCCTTAAAACATGAAAACCAATATGCTAATATAATTGCTGTGAGAGATAAGATAGTTTTTAAAAATTTAAGTACTGGTCTATATTTTAATATTCTTATGATTACTTTGCTTTACATTATTTTAATTTAAAAATTAAATGAATTAAAATAGTATTTTACCTGTGGATCCTGTTTCATTTGAGCAACCAGTTTCTGGTAATAAAGAGAAAAAGAGCCATCAATCTTCCATATTAACTCACTATGGCAAATCAGGTTTGCTCCCCCCCCCCCCCCCCCCCCCCCCGCAAATCTAGAGTTTTAAGATTCACACACACCAAAATGAGCAATACAACCATCAGAACAAAAAGCTTCTGTCATCTATTTAAAAGGTTAATAAGATACTCCTCTTAATATAGGGTGGGAATCAGAACTACCACTTTATATTTAAAATGAAATGCTCCTGCTTTTTAACAAGTCTGAAGATGGGATGAGGGCGGAGAATTTAAACAAGCTGGATGCTCCAAAAGCCAAACATCTCTCTAAAATGTTGTCACTGGGTAGAGTCCTAACTAAGGCCTACAAAGAAGCTGCTCCCATACAGAATGGGCCTGATCTGACTTTGCCACTGTCTTCTCCATGGGGTAGATGGAATGTACTCTCAGTGGGGCAATGAGGCTCAGAATTTGAAGAGTAAAAAAGTGAAGGAACAATAACACAAAACTACCTACCTGGGTTCCTCTGGGAGACTGCATTACCATAATATTGAATGAGAAAAGACCTTTACTAAGGAAAACAGAATGAAAAACAAAGAAAACTGGATGCTGTCTGATCTAACCCAACTTCCAAAAGCATCACTGTCCAAAGATAACCATAATCAGGGAGAAAAGAACCTGAAGGGTAAAGGCATATCAGAAAGCTGATTCCTAAAAGTTATCTGGAAATAAGCCGTTCCCCAAGTGAATCCATATAACTAAAAAGCTGTCCCTCTTTTTGGGTAACAAGGCACTTTTAAATTGTGTTAGTCATAAAATAAAATCTAATATGTATTATATACTTATCTCCCTTCTTACATTTAATACTGTCAGCTTAGAGGCCCCACCAATGTGGCTCAATGGCTGAGCATTGACCCATGAACCAGGAGGTCACGGTTCCATTCCAGGTCAGGGCACATACCCAGGCTGTGGGCTCAATTCCCACAAAGGGGGCATGCAGGAGGCAGCCAATCAATTATCTCTCTCAGTACTGATGTTTCTCTCTCTCTCTCTCTGCCCTCTTCTCTCTCTGAAATAAATTTAAAAGTATTTTTTTTAAAAACCTGTCAGCTTTTATTGTATAATCTTCAGTAAATGACTTCTAACATTTATTCTAGTTGATCAAAAGCCTTCCTTCTCATGGTGAGCTACATTCTAGAAAGTTGCAACCATGTGACAAGCACATGTTACTTCACATATGAGAGTAGTAATTCCTGTGTATCCTGTTCTTAATAACAAAATAGTAGTAACACACATTCCAAGAACTCAGTGAAATTGAACAGCAAGGCTTTTATACATATGCATTTTTCTAACACTGCTTAAAGGCTAACCACACTCTTCAATTTGGTTTTCCTTTTGATTTGATTACTATAGTTGACTATATTAAAATTGCATTTTTAAAGCTAAAACGGATTTTCTTCCACGACACTGGAATTTAAAAACTGACTCATAACCACACTAAGTCTTCACCTCTGAGGAAATAACTTTTCTATCTGTAAGCAGTCACGCTGCATTTTGCATCATCAGAGACAGGACTGAACACGCTGGGCAACTTAACTAGATCATACAAATCCCTAAGGACTTTAAGGTGACACCGTGTTGTCAAACGTAGGTTACTTTCTATTGCAAGAATACAATTTTTCATGAGGATATACTTTATTCTAAGGGTTGGCAAACTGGCCATCCACCTGTTTTCCTAAATAAAGTTTTACATGGGACACAGCTCTACCCATTCTTTTATATTGTCTATGACTGCTTTGTCTGCATAGCAGCAGGGCAAAGTAGCTGTGACAGAGACAGTAAGTGACTTACAAAGTATAAAAATACTTTCATTTACTATCTGGCCCTTTACAGAAAATATCTGCTAACCTCTGCTTTATACTATTCTGTTCCATGTAAAGTAAATACTCTGAAAGTTTAAATATTACTGTTATCAATTCTGCGTAAGGATTTAAAAAAAGGCAATTTCTCAACAAATGATAAGATGCCCATTATGTCATTATTATTTAAACATTTATCCAACATCAACTATGTGCACATTGCTCCTTTTTAAACCATCTCCCTATCCATAAAAAACAAAAATGTATTTTAGTGAGACAATACCAGGTAGTTTCATAACATACTTTCTATCCAGTAAGCTCAATCTCAGCTCTAACTTCATCCCATCACTAGAAATGCACAAAGGGGTGAATCATGCCACAGCCTAACAGCCAGTGCCTACTTTGGTGTCGTTCCTGGCATCCCTGAACTTGTCATGATTGGTGATTATGCAGGTTACCACATAGCTCATCAGAACAACATCATCCAATTTACAAACAAGGCATATCACTTGGGTTTATTTATAAAATTCAATTTAAAAAAAAAAAGTATTCTAAATGTAACTGGAATAAAAATATAGAGTGTATATGTTAAAATACTATCAATAAATATACTTATCACAAAAACAAAATGTATAATAATTAAGGATGAATATAAATGCTATTAACTTTATGCTAAAAATAAATACATAAGAATATAGATACTTAATGTGAATATTAAGATAGTGTTTAGGATAATTTTATGAAGAATATATCCCTTTTGAGTCAACAAATGTAATTTTAAAATGTAAATTAGATTTTAAAACAAATTAAGCATTAAATTTTTCATAATTATTTTCATAAAATTGATACGCTTGAGTTAAAACATGAAACAAAATATTTTAAAACTCTAGTTAATTTTCAGTAATTTAGTTCAATTTAGGTCATAAGTCTTTCATGAAAATCTTATTGGGATTTATTCAGATCTTGTGAGGATGAGCTAAAAGCAGAATGTCAACTTCGCCATCTCAAAATTTCTTGAAAGGAAGATTATCTCCAAAAATCACATCCAACCTCATTATATTATCTCTGATCCATGCAACTTTGATTGATTATTGTTTTTTAGGAATTTATTCTACAATGATGTTGGCTTCAAACAAATTGTGAACTTAACTGTCATCATCTGCCATGCAGCCAAATTGGGAATCAGTGTTAAAAAAGTTTTGTCCAGCCTGGCAAGCATGGCTCAGTGGTTCAGCATTGACCTATGAACTAGGAGGTCAGGGTTCGATTCCTAGTCTGGGCACATGTCCAAGTTTGCAGGCTCAATCCCCATTATTGGGGGTGTAGGAGGCAGTCAATCAATAATTCTCTCTCATCAATGTTGTTTCTCTCCCTTCCTCTCTGAAATCAATAAAACAATATATTTTTTTTTAAATACTTTTGTCCTAGAAAAAGATAAGCTTGTTTTTGTAAACCAATTTTTATTTTCCTCCATTTGTAACAAAAGCAAGGCCTAATAAAACAAAATGTGCTTATTTTATTATATACTAAATTTAAATAGGTAACTTACTTATTACATACTAAATTTCTTAAAGTTACATAAAAACAAAACACACTTCTTAAAGTTATCTTAAAAACAAAACCTACCTGTACCCGGCAAACTATAGCACTACTGCTGAGCAAGAGTGTATTTTAACAAGATCCAAAGTAGCAGAACATACAGAGACTTAACTTTAAAAATATGCATTTGTGTATCTATATATGTACATGTTTAGATTATATATGCCTTTGAAGCTTTCCTATAAATTATCTTCCATTAATTCTGAGCAACTTGAAAATTCAGTAGTTATCAAAAACCCAAAGTGTTCTTCCAACAATCACAGAAATTAACCTTACATTAGACTATTCAGATAAAACAAAGGAAAATATACTTAAGAACACCTTTAAAAAAAATTTCCTTTCTCCTATTCCAATACCCCAAACATTCAAAAGTAATTAATTCATTGTCATTTATCACTTTTTATTAAATAAACATTACATATGTGTATGTCTTGAACCTAGTACCACATTCAGATAATGTATAGAATACAGAAGATATAAAACAGTGATACTCTGTTTATATAAAAATGTTAATGATTTAGTTATTTAAGGATAGTTTTTGTATTAAAGTTTTATTAAATTAAATATTATATATACTTAATATATAAATTATGTTTAGTATACAATGTATTTTATTAACATTGTTGTCATGTAAATATAATCATTGATCTATTTTAAATTTTCCATATTTTAAAGGTTTAGCCTAAGTACCTGAAGTAAAATGTAAGAATTGTGAAATTTGAAATTTAAACATCTGTGAAAGTAATCACATTTTCTTTACTAATGACTAGAATAGAGGTATAAAAGTGAATGAGTAAAAACTTCAATATACATAGTAGTCAAGTCACACATGTCTCATTTAAAATATACAAGTCATAAGTCACATGAACAAAGTCCTTTAGATTAACAACAACAACAAAAAATCACCGCAGAAAAATATTCTTTTTTAATGCCTTTGGTATATAAAAAAAATCTGTGATTAATTTCTGATGAAAGGAAATCAGGAATATTTCATTAACGTTCTTAAAAGTGTTATCAATGAGTTTATTGAGTAGTGATAAAAAACAAATGGCATGACTGTTGGGCAATAATTGGCTGAAAGATGATTAACAATTTGTACTAAAAATCAGAGATGGGTCTGTTGACTCATCTTAACCATTACTTAATAACATGATGTGGAAGAAGACAATAATGCAACATACCTGGTGAACCTGAATTTCCACTTTAAGAGCTTCCTGTAGAGTCTGCAACTCCATCCTCCACCTTCTCCACTTTCTCTTATATCTGCTAATTCTATAGTTTCTTCAGCCTCCGTTTAAAATAACAAACTCCTCTTCTCACTGCAGCTGCAGAGATCAATCAATGTTTTGGATCATTATATTAGGTATAAAAGAAATATTCATGTTAAATACAATACATTTGTAATAGTTGAAAAATATTTGATTCTCTAGCACAGGAAAAGAATTTCCCAAACAGAATTCTTTTTGAAATGAATAGTTTTGTATTTAATTGATATAACAACTTTCTGGGTTTTATAATTTGAACATTCCTCTACACTACAGAACACTTTAAAGAAGTAAGAAAAGCCGGGGGCGGGGCGGAGTGAACAAGTGTTTAACTTGGTCATGAAAACAGCTATGCACCTACTATGTGCTCAGTACCATACTACAAACAGAGCTTAACAAGACCCCTTCTGCCCTAACGGAGTTGGGAATTTAGAGGCGGAGACTACAATCACCTCAGACTCACTTCACACTCTGTCCTTAGAAAGAGACACATAGCAACAGGGTCATGCATTTTTTAAACATCACACAGAGGGAACTGGAAAGTTCAGGATCTCTCCAAGGTTACAGAAGGCCAAAGTACTTTTTTTTTTCAATTGGATTAACTTGTACTGTATTTAAAAAAAACTTTTTTAAACTGAAAATGGGAAAACTTCACTGAAGTTCACATTCAACAAATTAATACTTAATACAAAGACAAGGCAATGTAACTATGTTTTCCACAAAGTTATAAAAGCAGTATTAAAAATAAATCTATTGTGCCCAACAGATGAGATAGATGGTCTAGCAATGGAACAGACGTTTCCAGCTTTACAATTAACTCTACCTTCTTTTCGAGGCTGAGTGCATCTCTTTGGCTATGTGCATAACTGCATATGGGGAAAGGTCAAAAGTCTAGATGTGTAAATGTGAACCTTTCTATTTTGCTCTGCTCCTCACTACTGCAATTTCAATTAACTCAGTGGCTAATTTCTTTTTTAATATTTTTTTATTTTTTCTTGCATGTAACTTTTGACATGATTTTGGGTACTCTCCCAACGCAAAGTTTGCTTTTATCTGAAAAAATTTAAACTTTTCATCTTTGTACCTATAAAACTTGTAGTTAGGGCAACTTTTAAGCATTCTTAGAAACTGAGGAAGGGAACAATCAGTTCCCTTAAACAAAGGGAATGAGATTCATCTTTATACTTTCTACAAATTATTTATCTATAGTTATTTATCTATGGACATTTCTTTAAAACCTGATTTGACAGTTATAAAAATAATTTACTACAGACTATGTAGTTGTCAATATTATTTTTTATTATATTTGCTAAACCTCACTAGGCTTAAAACATCACTACTGACAATCTCTCCCCTAGGGCTTATACAATGCTTTATGGTATCAAAATAATCTAACCTAAAATAACAATAAATTTCAAAAGTGTGAAATTCCTTCAAACTCACTCATGGAAGCTAGAAAATGATTATTGTACAATAATATTATCAACCAAACATTTTATAAAGATGATATGTTTAGGGAATATAATTTGGAAAAGAAGACATACTTTGATTAACAAACCTGGGCTTTTCTGCTACTTATTATCTTAGAAAATTTTTGGAACTAAAATAAACAAATAAACATAAGAATCATTAAGTCACTGACTTAGACCAAGGTTTTTGTTATGTAAGTTTACGTTACATACAAACTCACATGTAAAAACTACACTGCCATTTCAATTTTAAATACTAAAATAATCTCTCTACTAAAATTCTTGACTTACATGTTCAAGTTCTTCCTGAAAACAGTACTTAAACTAGTTTTAATTTTGCAGAAAATGTATCAAAAAATGATGTCAATATTTGTCAAATTAAAAATCACCTTGAAGTTACTAGTAAAGAGGTATTTTCAACACCAGAAAGGCCGTATTTTATTTTATTGGTAGTTCAACTCAATTCATACAAACAGCAGGTTAAAAACATGGAGAATTTAGAATACAAACAACAAAGAGTTAACATATTTTATAGTTAAAATGCTCACAAATTAATTTTTAAAAACTTAAAAAGCAGTTCACTAAAGAAATAACAATAATCATGAAAAGAATGAAAAACACCCACCTTCAATAGTCATTGAAATGTACATCTTAAGAAGGTAAGTTTTGTCTATCAAACTGACAAAGACTTATAATAATACCATGAGCATTCTAGAGTTTAGGTCAGGTGGTACTTTCACAATTTGCCACTGGTTATCTCGGGGGGGGGGGGCGGGGGGGGGAGCGAGTAGTACTAAGGGTTATTTCTTTTGAATATAAAACTTTCCATATTTTGTTATTTTAAAATATGTACTTATTTTTAAATAACAAAAAATTAACTGAGGAATGCTAGATAAAGCAACAGAAAATTTTATACTGGTGAAATAAAATGTCCAGGAAATGAAAAAGTAAAACCTGGAGGCTCTAAATGTCAGAGTGCCTGGTAGGATAAGAAGCCTACAGCTCACATTACTAAGGAGCTGACAGCTTTTACCTCCTTCATCAGATTGTTGTCTACTTATTAGAGATCCACAGACACACATTTTATTTGTCAAGAACTCTAAAGGCCAATTACTCATTTCATTTAAAAATAAAACATTTAAAAGAAGGGTTAAAAAGGTAATGACTTGCTATAGAGAAAAACTTATGGAGGATTACAAGATATATTTGATATCCTTCAAAATGTCTCTTTGTGGATAGCAATTTTAAGAGACTGGTCTCTGCCTAAAGGAACAAATTATATACACATATTTATAAGTTACAAAAACAATGCAAGCACATGTTGAATCCTTCTTAAAAATATTTGGGGGCTTAGATAACTCATGCAGCTGTCATGTAAAGACCATCTGGGGGCAGTTTATAGCATCCTAAAGAAGGTATGATTTTACTCAGTATAAGAAAGATGATTTATCGTACTTTGACCAACTCTAATAAGTTGTAAATAACAAATCAGTTGTATAGTAAAAACAACAGCTTCACAAAATAGTTAATAGACACACTTTATTGAAGTACAATGCCTTTCACCACCCAACAGCTCTAAATACCACAATCAGAAAGGACAATTGCCTAGCACAAAATATCAACATTTATTATACATCTCAAACCACTGGGACACCTAATAGCCTCTCACCTTCAAATAATAAAAAACCAAAAACATAGACAAATAAAAACTCCACCCACCAACCATTCAAAACAATAATCAAGTTTCACTGAGAAAGGCAGCTGTGATGTCTGGAAAGAACTCTGTCACCCCAAACAAACAAATAAACAAAAACAACAATTGATTTCCCTTACTCACCATGTAATCACTCTCAGCCTCAGGGTTTTTAAAATTTGTTTGTATGTTTGCTTATAAATCAGGAAAATTGGAACAGTATAGCCTACTTCATAAAAATGGTATGAGGTTTGAATAAGGTAAATACCACGTGAAAAGCCCTTTGTAAATTATAAGGTTCTATGCTATTCCTAACACATTTAGTGCTTTTATTCAGGCACATAACTTAGTTATAAACTTCTCAACACATTAGATTGTGGAGAGGATAGTAGGTTTTCCTATTTTTAATTTTTCTTTTAAAAAAGGCTTTTCCTGGCTAACATCAACAAATCAACAAACGACAAGTGCTGGTGAGGATATGGAGAAAAGGAACCCTCTTGCACCACTGGTTGGAATGCAGACTGGTGCAGCCACTGTGGAAAACAGTATGGCATTTCCTCAAAAACATTAAAAATGGAACTTATATTTGACCCCAAATCCCACCTCTAGGAATATATCCCAAGAAAACAGAAACACCAATCAGAAAGGATACATGCACCCCTATGTTCATAGCTGCACAATTTACCATAGCTCAGATTTGTAAACAGCCTAAGTTGCCCATCAGCAGATGAGTGGATTAGAAAACTGTGGTACATCTACACAGTGGAATACCATGCTGCTGTAGAAAAAAATAAGGAATTCTTACCATTTGCAACAACATGGATGGAACTGGAGAGCATTATGCTTAGCAAAGTAAGTCATTCAGAAAAAGATAAATATCACATGATCTCACTCATTTGTGGAATATAAATGAACAACATAAACTGATGAACAAAAATAGAACCAGAATCATAGAAGCATTGAATAGACTGTCCAACTTATGAGGGAAGGCGGGAGGTGAGGGGGTAAGAGATCAACCAAAAGACTTGTATGCATGCATATGAACATAACTAATAGACACAGACAGTAGGGAAGTTGAGGGCATGTGCTGGGTTGTGGGGGCGGCCGGAGAGAGGTCATGGGGGAAAAAGGAGACTTATGTAATACTTTAAACAATAAAGAATTTTTTTTTTAAAAGGCTTTCCAACTATTTTTCTGGGTATAGTTTTGCTTGGAGATATGTGACTGCCAGGTCTTTCATTATGATTCTAATAAAGTTGTCATGCTGTAACTTTGAATTCACTGCTAAGAAACACTACTCAATTCCTGAACTGCTTATAAACCCTTTATCAATCAAAACTCCACTTGTCAACCAAGATTCTTTAACTAACACAGTAAGTCCATAATACATTGTGCTCCCAGATTGAATTCCCTGGAAATGGTTAGCTCTGCGTTCTCTATACTGTAGATTACTTGGTGTAAGACTCCACTTTTGCTCTATCATCTTAGAACAGTGTTTTGAGTAGGTATAATTTTTTTAAATATAAAAAAGTAGAAAGTCTTGACAGATCAATGTATCCTTACTTGTCACATGCCTAATACTAAAATATCAGGTTTTAATTTGTGCAAAATACTATGTATCCAATAGTGCTAAAAATTATTATGGATGCTAAAAATAAAAATTATTTTAGTAATACTTATTGAAACTAACATTTACTAACAGGAATCAGTAAAAATGACATAAAAACCCAATGTAACATCTGTATTTATTTTTCATGCTGGTAGCTCTTTGGTGACACTCCACAGGTCAACAACAACAAAAAATGCTC